CTTATGAATTACTCAATAAATAATAATATTTTGCTTTCGATCATTAAGTATGTACCTATTTTGACCACATACATACAGGGTGTGTGGAAGTTCGATATATCCTATATTATAGAAAATATCAAACAATGTTATTTACAAAAGTTATACATAATATTAATCTGCACATTTTAAAATTATTTTAGATTATACAGAGTGATCCATAACTTCAGAATTGATCAAACTTGTTTTTTAAATAGACCACCCTGTATTTAATTGTAAATTTGAATTCCCCTCGGAATTCCCCTGACTTTGCCCTTCAAGAAAATACCAACATCCAACATGTATGAGGTTAAACTGGGTATTTTGGAAGTTTAAACCAATTTTATATGAAAATCGTACTAGGTTCAATCCTCTGTATATTTCAAAAGAAACAATCGAACATTAAAATTTTTTGATGAATCATTTTTAATGGTAATCTACTTTTATAAGAATATACTAATTTTCTCCTAGCGCAACAGACGTGTACAGGGTGAGTCAAAACTCAGATACATGATTTTTTCAATTTTTTTAAATGTAACACTGTATTTCATATCACTACTAAAAAGTACTCTAATTATACGTTCGTTTGAGTTAAATATTGCCTATCCCTAAACACAGTCTAGCTAGATTATTAGATGAAATGGTAAAAAGGGTTAATTATAACTAAATTCACAATGTAATTTGATTTAAACTCCTGTTAAAATATACTGTTTAATCAGTTTATATTTTTAAGGTACCTAGCTACAGTTCATCAAATTTCTAGAGGCTTTCGACGGCTAGACAGAGAAAGCACTACTGACAGGCATCCCGACGGATTTACGCAATGAAAGTACACTCTGCGCATCAAGTATTTCACTATTTCATTCAGACGTAAATGTCAGATGTAAATTTCGCTAAAACATTTCTTTTATTTTCGTTTGTGTTTTTTGCTCATTACAGTTTAATAGAACCTAAGTATGGAGTTTAATAGCAAATTAAGAGGCCGCGTGATTAACAGTCAATCTCGCGAAATAATAGCCAATGTTATAGAGTTTATGAGAAGAGAAGGAAACTTTAATTCACCTTCAATACCATTTAAAAATGTAAATGATCGTGTTGCTGCAGCCACAGGAGTATCTAAAAACACTGTCGTCCGCATTTCTGGAGAGAAAAAAAGAATCGATAACCGTGAGATATCGGAATTTTCATCACCAAGAAAAACCATTAAAAAACCAAAAACAGTTAATGATATAGATGAAGCTGCACAAGAATCAAATTTTATTTTTTTATTATTAGATATCTATTTTTGTTTCTGAGTTGTGTTCATTTACAGGCTCAATTATTTCCGTTTCTCCTTTTTGATTTTATATGGGGTTTCAAGTTGTTTTTGACTTATATCGACGTAAATCACAACAACACACTTTTTTAATAAAGCAAACAAGTGTTAAGAGGTATATGTACGTGTAAACTACAATTACAAAAAATTGATATGAAACCCATGAAACCACCAACAAAAATGTAAAGCTAGCTTCCGTACTAGAACATGGTGTCATTCGTCGAGATAATTTATCGTTTTGTTTAATAGATCAAGAAATGTAAATATTTCCCTGTTATTTTTTATAAAATTATAAGAGAAATTAATTTTTTTCTTAATAGTATAGTTTATTATTTTGTAGAAAAACAAAATTTCGAAAATTTTAGTAATGTTTCAGAAACAACCGTTATTAATAATAGGTACCATTTTCCTTAATAAGGTAGAAATAAAATATAAACTATTTCCACGATTTACAAAGGCCTACAAAAAAATTATAGGTATTTTCCGCTATCCTATAAAATTTATATTTTCTGACTCAATTTCAAAAGGTTGAAGGAATTCCAAAACACCTTTTATGGCATTATAATTATTTTCAATTCTACATACTATCTTTAGCTGCTTTTAAAAACGTTCTAAGAAAGTCCAATCAGACCAATTTAATCCCTAAACTATTCCACACTTTTAAAATTTAATTACCTAAAAATATTAAAAACTATTTAAAATAACTTGTTTAGCAGACTGTACAATAGCTATCTTAGTCACACGTAGCGCGTTCTCTGTCTGGGCGTCGAACACCTCTAGAAATTTGATGAACTGTACAATTTATTATCAACTGAATTTACTTTCTTTACTTTTAAGGTTAGGTAAAAGTACTTTGATTATACGTTCGTTTGTCCCTATCCCTAAATACAACAGTTTAGAAGATATTTTATATTTGAATAAAAAAGATATGAGCAAAAAATAAGTTATTTGAATTTTTTTAGAATGCAACATTAGTATATTAAAAAATTAAAAAAAAGATATTATAAAAGCTGCTCAAAGTGACTTCCTCAAACTGTAATACAATGTTGTAATCTCGCTTCAAATGATCTTTGAACGTTTTTCAAACATTGTACATCTATGCTCGCGAACACTTGTCTTATTCTTTTCTTCATTTCCTCGCTAGTTAATGGACTAGTTTTATAAACCCCGTTTTTTACGAAACCCCACAAAAAAAACTACTTTAGTGAGGTCAGGGGACCTGGGAGGCCACATAACTGGACCATCTCTTCCAATCCATCTGTTTTCAAAATTATGGTTCAGAAAGTTGGGAACTGGTTGAGCATGATGAACAGGAGCTCCATTATGTAATATCCACATTCGGCGTCTTATATTTAGTGGAACATTTTCCAATAGTAGTGGTAGATGATTCTGCAGAAAGTCTAAGTAGACCTCGGCAGTTACACGACCATGAAAGAAATGTGGTCCTATGACATAGTCCCCTAATATACCACCCCCCAAACGTTAATAGACCATCGTGTTTGGCTATGTGTCATTAACTCATAAGGATTGGTGGTGGAATAGTAATGAAAATTGTGTCTATTAACGAAACCGTTTTTGTGCAATGTTGATTCATCCCCAAAAAGTACACAATCAACAAAATCATTTTCATTATTAATGTTCTCTATTGCGCAATCACAAAAAGCAATTTTTTTTTGAAAATCGTTTTCAAGAAGCTCCTGATGACGTTTTTAATAGTATCCTATTGACAGATGATTTACTTATTCCCGTTTTATTTTCCATGATGGGTGTACTGGTGTTTGGATTTTCGGTAACAATAAGTGGAATACTGAGTCCAATTTTGTTCATTTAAAGTTCGTTTTTCTCTATCATTTATTTGATATGCTACATTACCTGTACGTTTGAATCTTTCCAACAGATTTTCAAAAATTTCTTTACGAGGTTGTCGGCGATCAGGATATTTTTGCTTATAAATTCTAGTTGCCAACAAGCAATGTTCATCACTAGCCCCTAGCACTAAAATCATATCAGTCAATTCATTCGTTTCAAAATTCATTTTTAAATTAGTCAAATCAATAAATTTAAATACTTGTGAACACTAAACTAAAGCCATATTCGAGGGGTCTCTTTGGTTTAAAAAATTTTTCAACAACTTTTAGAACCAGCTTTAATTCTACGTCATAAATTTTGAAAGCGCTCAAATAAATGATTTTAAAACAGTGATGTCACTGTTAAGTTAACGATTTGTGAGTTTTTAAATCTCTAGCTACAAAATTTTTTTTGCTTAATGCCAAAGAGAACCTTGTGTAGTATTACCAGAGTTTTATGAAAAATGGATCATTATATTTAGAATCCGACTTTAACCAGTTATTTGGAATTACAAGATCAAGTTTTCAAACATTCCTTTAAATTATAAACCTTCATAATTATACATTTTCTATTTTTTCTTATGACCATAATATAAACTTTTTTATCACGAATTTTGTCTTTGCTACCCTTTATGATGTTTGTTATTATTTTTGATATTAATGACATTTCTATTTCCTCAAACCGTTCTTAATGAAACGTTTCAAAAACAGATGCAACTGGTTTAAACCTAATTTGACGTGACGTCATTGTTTTGTCACTCGAATGGGAATAGTTCAAACCGTTTTCAAATAGCATAAAATATATTTAAACCAGTCGACCGCTCGAATATTAAATTTTATTTTTTATTTAAACAATTCGGAACTGTCAAATTATTCTTTTGACATGAATTTCAAAACCCACTTGACCTAATGCACAAAAAAATTTGAAGTTCTGTTAAGAGTTTTCATTGCATTTTATATGAAAAGTTGTAAAGGTCCAAAAAAATTATTTCAGTTGATAAAAAATTGTACCAGGTACCTACCTTAAAAATATAAACTGATTAACTACTAACTAGTATGTAATATTTAACAGGAGTTTAAATCAAATTACATTATGAATTTAGATTTAGATTTTTAACTTTAATGCAGAAATCTAGCATTAGGAGATTGAGCACATGGAAACTTCAAATCAAACATTAAGTACTGTAACATTAGAAAAATTCATGCTACCGTTTTCATAAGAAAATTTAAATCATCACTGAAATTATGTAAATAAACTTGATCTAAAAAGTACGAATATTTAATATCTTAATTAATTAGATAATTTCAGATAAATAATTTTGTATAGGTATATTAATTATACAAAACCTGGAAAAAAATCAGAATATTCCACGTCATAGGTATTTGATGCGCACCTAAATTTGAATGTTTAAATAATTATAAGTAAGTTTACAAGTATCGTGATAATTGTAATTATATGAAACAAATATAATTTTTTCTTCGAGTTATTTAAAAAATCGCAACTTAAAAACAAACGTAACAATTTACTGGAAAGCAGTTTTAACTCTTAATATTATTTTGTCCTAAGTACCTACAAAGTTTACTATTAAAATATTAGGCACGAAAATTAATTTGTTATTAATGGGACTATTTATTAAAATTAGTTTTAATTTATTTGTTAACCATAAAGATAAAAAATAAAATAATAATTTAAGAAACCGGACTTAACAAAGATATTTTTTCTAGTTTTACTTTGGTTTTAAAGATTTGAAACATAAAATCCGTCCTGCTATAGCAGGAATAACATTCTAACATTAACCCAGATTAATTTGTCAATTTACCTGGAATCAAATTTAGTACCATCGGTCAAAGTTCCCGTGTAATGCATGGTCAACATATCCCCGCTTTTGGATTTCGTTTCACACATTTCCGGCTTATACAATACGTCAACTTTGAGGTCATTGTTGCAGTTGGCCAAGGCGAAAAACGCGACGAGGCAAAAGCCGGTTGTGAACGTGAACCTAAACATGATTCTCTCAACTTCGAAGTTACGAACTGACTGAATGAACGGAAGAAATTCGCCACGAGACTTTCGCATCGTGCCACGCTGCAGTGGTGACGTCACAGCTTCCATTTCTCTCTATCCCATCCTAATATGTAATCGTGACGTCACTGCTCATCTCTCTTTCGTACTCGTTGTGGTAATCGGACATTTGAAATTTGAAAGCCACAGGTCTGCGTTTGGTTGGCCAGAAAGCCCACGTGATTTTGATTTGTTTGGTTTTCGATGAGTTGAACGTGTTGATTTAGCGTAGCGATTTCTTTTTTTACTTATCTATGCAGTAAATGACAAATAATATCGATATCTTAGAGAACGGATACAGCTAATAGGGAGTTTTAGCAAACAGCCGCTAACCATCCGCTAACGTTACCTTAGGGATAGACTGTAATCTACTCCGTTCAATGTTTATGAAAAAGGTCACAATCTAAGTTTAACGTAACGTTAGCGGAAATCTTACGTACATTTGCTAAAACTCTCTATTAACTACGTTGATGTTGCCTATTAATAATTTTAAGGTACCTACCTATTATTTTTATATCTACAGTAAGATTTTGATAAAAGTGCTGTTACTTGTTTTATTAAAGTAAAAGTTGCAGTTATTGGCCGTTTAAAAATGTTTATTTACAGTTTCATAGAATATTTTATTAACATTTAAAATACACTGGCCAGCAAAATTAACGCACCACTAAATTATTTCGAATTATTTTTGGAAATTCATATAAAAAATATGAATGAAAATTCCACACCTGTAATTTTGAACCAATCTAAATACGTGTTTTTGACAGATCACCATGGCAACGGAGGTATTTTAGTGGAAATTTTTTTCTCGTGGGGTACCCAACAGCGAATTATACTGGAAATTTTTTGACGTTTACAATAACAGACCATTTTTTGACAGACTGGTTTTTATTTGTTCACATAATAGGTTTAGTTTTGATACATTTTAGTTACAATGCTAAGGTGTTTTCTATATTCTTCGGCCACTTCTTTTCTTCTTAATGGCGAAAAAGCAGGACTTTGGATGCTTTGAATTATGTGTCTATGTCTAATAAAATATATATAATATTTAGACACTAATTTATTCACCTTTTTCCCATTCAGCACTTTGAATTTTGCGTAGTTTAGGTGCAAATATTCGTGGACAATTCGGAACAAATTTTCGTTTTTCAAGTTGGAGCCACAATCCTCTATTAATCCGAGTAAGTAAGTCATGGTGCAATGATTGATCATTACATCAGACAATTTCACGCATATTTTGCATAGCGTATGATTTTCAAATCGATTCATTTTTAAACAAATAGGTAATTTTGTTGGTTTTACTTGCTGTGCAATATTCTTTATCGCAACAAAACGCGAGTTATTTAATGTTTTGAACTGTCAAAATACAATGATCACAGCCTCCTACGATTGATGCTTGCTGACGCTGGTTATGAATTTCATACCATTTTAAAGCGCTCATAACGCATGTTAATAAAAACGCAGAAAAACAATTTTCTACCACTTGTAGTTATTCAAAACTTACGTAAAATTAAAGAATATACTATTTTCTATTTTCAAATGGTATTCCCATGCAACTACAATGAGTAGAAATAAGCAATTTGAAGGCCTAAATAATTGCAGCGAAACATTTTTTTACGTCGGGCCGCTTGACAACTTCAAAACTGAAATTATATTCCAGGTTAGGGTCTCACTTAGTTACCATGACAACTTAACAATCAAGGCGACAACACCTTTTATGTTTCACTGGTGACTTGGAGAAAATAATTTGCATTGTTGAGAAACGAAAAATAAATTTTAAAAATATTTAATTTTCAACCATAATTCGGCGTGGAATTTTCTTACCGAATACCACGTGAGGTCAAATTAATATCAGGAAATTTTTTCTCGCTCATGAATATTTTTAGAAAATTTCCCTCGTCTGCCACTCAAGAAATTTTCAAAATATTCATGAACTCGAAAAAATTTCCGGAAATAATTTGACCTCTAGTGGTATTACTAGTGAAAATATTTATTTTTATTTTAAACTGCCATAGTACACACATTCTAAATTTATACAGTCGGTTTTTTATCCTTATTTTGTTGGAATTCAGATAAAATTTGAATTAACATAGGTACCTCTTTTTCTTTATCTTTTATTGCTAAAATTTATCATTTGCACTAAAAATTTACATTTGTGAGGTACAGTGAAGTAAAGTGTTTGTTATGGAACGCCAATCTAGAAATTTGACCGCCGAAGACTGTGTCCAGGCAGTCATTTTACTGCAAGAGGGCCAAATAATAAGAAAATAAAGTGTCATGGGCTTATTTTCAGTACCAAACTAGTTCCCTGCATCTTTTATCTTTCCAAAGTGGTAGTGGTTGGGTTGGTATTGTAAGGAACAAGCGCGGGAAAAAGGCTTCGTTCTTGTCCTGACAATCAGCAGGAAACACACATGCGTTTTAAATGTAAAAGCAGGCCCATAACACTCCCTGGGCGGGAAAAAGACGCGCAGCTTTTACTGCGCTGACGTTTTCGGGATATAACCTATCACTTGTCATAAATCCGGTTAAAAACTCGCTACCATGCGCACGCAACCCATATTTCGTACACAAATATAAACTTTTGTTTACATTTTATCGAAGTAGTTTTTGTAATACATTCACAGCTTAAAAACGGAAAATTTGTTATTTTGATAGTGGATTTAGATCAAAAATACCCCAAATACACTTCAGTGTGTGTTTTATCCTTATTATTGCTCGTTTTATTTGAGGACATTGGAATAAATAGAGTACTAAAAGTAATCAAGCTAAAAAGGTATGTTATAAAAAGAAAATACATTGCCTTCGACTGATTTATGTTTAATATGTTTTCGTGAAGTATTTCCAACATGCTAGTTACTTGAATGGTTGTAAATTGTACGTGTATAAGTGATAAAAACATCTAGTGCTTTGTGCTTCCTTTTTTTCTGTTGGTGTCCCAGCCCAGCATTTCTAGTCAGCAGTAGTAGCAAAAACATTAACATTGTCTACATTCAACCCATTTACATGTACATGATTTATCAGCTAAAAGCAGAATACAATATTTCTCTGCGAAATGTAAACAACGCTACAAGGAAAATTGCTCATGTATAAATTCAACAATTAAATCAAAATATATTATTTTTAAAGGACTTATATCAACTATTATGTTAATTATAAATATTATAAGTATTTGTAACAAAATAATAGTTGTGTATTAATAAACCTGTTGCTACTCCAAAAAATATATTATTTATTGATTATCAGCTATCAAAAATATGTGTACCTATAGAAATTTGTTGAAATGTTCTATTGCTCTTAATCTTTTTCTTGTTATAGTTGTAAATAAAAATCAACACTTTTTATCCGTCTATTTAACACTTACAAACGTATGTATATTTTAAGTTGTAAGGATCCATAGCCTCTTAATGTTTTACATTAGAAATAAGACCTGTGATGTCACATTAAATCGTTAATATGAGGTAAAGGATTTGGGAGTTGTCTTTTAGTCTAATTTGAAGTTCAATAACCATTTTTTACACATAACTAAAAAAGCAATAAAAGCATTAGGTTTTTAAATCAGAAATACAAAAAAATTTAGGATTACCACCAAAATCAGATTATATAATGCCTTAGTAAGACTCCATCTTGAGTATGTTTCACAAATATGGATGCCCTTGGAAGCCACATAAATTGATCATATTTAAAATGTACAAAAAATATTTTTACGGTACCTTTATGTCATAAAAAATACTTGTACCCTTATACCTAAGATCTCGTATAAAACTATGCTCAATAGTTTTAAGATTAAATCTCTTTTACAAAGAAGAAAGCAACAGGGTGTGATATATTTTGTACTCTATTTTAAGTACAAAGATTGTGAATTGATTGACTATATAAATGTTAATGCGGCAAAGATTAATCTAAGAAACCCAAGTAACAATAAATTATTTTTAATTCCTTAATTTCCCTTAAATTTTCTTAAAATTCCCTACCCTTTTACATGAGTTAAAAATATAATTCCTTCTTCCCATCTGTAATAATAATCAACGTATTTTTTTATTCTTGGCTACTCCAAACCAATTAATTTTGTTAGAAGTTCTATTCAATATTAAATTTAATAAATTTATATTTACGTCAAGTAAACTTAATTAGGGAAATGTATACAGTATACATGCAATAACGCCGGTACATTGACAAATTCATGAAACTAAATACTAAATAGGTAAAACTAAATACAGACATTCTCTCAACAGGTTTCAAATTTCCTCTACATTATTGCATGATGTGTAATGTGTGTTGTCTATCCTCTGTCAATAATAACATAATGTAGGTACATATTCTGGTAGGTATGTATGTGTACCTACATTCTTGATTAATTAAATTAAATTTGGAAACTATAATCCACTAGTAGCTTAAGATGATTGTTTCATATGTTCTGATTTGATTCGTTAATGATATTAGGTAGGTATTATGAATGTAATAAACCTTTTAATTTAAAATTTTAGGTCCTACTTTGGTCGTTAAAGGAAAACAAGGAAATGTACCTAGCTACATCATACTCGAACAGTTGCTGAGATATTTATCAAAAACCTTGATTTTTTGATTCCCCCAAATTCGATATAAATTCCAATTCATATTTAATTTATTTGCACACGAATCATATAAGGATTCGTTCGAATACGTCTTATAGCGCAAAATGCATATCGCATTCGTATTTGGTAAACGTGGAGACCTGTCTCTCAAAAATTTAAAAAGACTGACTTGAAAATTAGGATATTTATAACAGTCCTCTTATGCCAAAAATAGATAATCTACGAATTCGAGAGACGCTAAAATGGTGGGTCCCACCTTATCGAGACCGAGGCCCACAAGGGTAAACTCGTAGCGTAACAAAACGAGAAATGATTTAACGTATAAGTTAAATCATAGAACGAAACACCGAAAGCCGATAGTAGTATTAAAACGTTGATTTTTTTT